GGAAACGATACCTCCCTATATTATTGTACATCTGCGGGGCACCATGTTCTGGGGGAAAAATGTGTCTTTATAGCGGGGAGTTTCCTTAAGAAGAGTGTCTTTAAAGCGGGGACGACTGTATATGATGTTCAGGGTGGGCTATTGTTAAGGAGTGTGGCTGCTAGCATGAATAGGGTACATCTTGTTGTTGATAGGATGCGGGTCGGTCAGGAGGTATACCCTTCTGACCCCTACCCCCTTGGAGTTGTCTACTCTTTGTACCCCCTGAGATGAAGTTGGATCCCCATTTCATCCCAGACCTTTGCTGATCGTCTCTCAGCAATAACAAGCAACTTTCCCATCTCAACGTGGTCGTGGACAAGCGTGTCAACGACAGAACCTTCATCTATCTCTAGGAGCAAGCCACCGCACACGGCATCACTACTCCTTGAAAAATACCGAATATGATACAACTGCGGGGCGGGTGAGTTGTGCACCCTCGTCTGTCCGCCACTTAATTGGGGTTGTGAAACTGTCGGCCACACATTGTAGAAATAAGACATCGATTGCAGTGGGAGAGGAATTTGGCCAGCCTACGATGATAGTATGCTACAATAGTGGTACAAGGAATCCCCTGTCAAGAACCCGAAAACCGGCTTTCACGGGGGTCTATCAAAAACACACCTGCATGAGCCTGCGTCCAAAATGCCATCAATGCCGACCTCCTCCGCACTTTCACTTTGTTGCTTCACCCCATTCCCCCCTCTACCCTCCGCCTCCGAAATCCTTCCCCACGTCTTGACCCTCTTTTCTCCTATAAGTTTCCCATCTAGGGCCCTTCATCTCTGACGGAGACAGTGAAGGGTGCTTCAATCGTGCGCATGCCTTGTGCGACTTGAGCTTCATCCGGTCCCCGTGCAGTCTCAAAAAAAAGTCCTTTTTGTCTCCGGTTACTGGATCTGCGGCGGCCCACCTCTCCTGGTAGTTCCCTCGAATGGACACCGTGAAGTCCTCGGGTTCTGCGAACGGTTCCAGGCTGAAGGCGGACACCGGAGCCGGGCGGAGGGGCGCCGACTTTCCGCTCGGCAGGCGCGCGTTGCGTACGATCTTGAAGGCGGTCCTGTTTATTGGCGGGTGCAGGATGTCCTTGGCACGGTCCGTCTGGAGCGGCGTGTCACGCACGTTGAAGTTCCCCACTCGAAAGTCCGTGTCGTCCACGACGACCTGATGCCATTACATCAAAATCACACGGGGACAAAAAAAAAAATCGGTGAAAACGATATCTTCGTCGGTGTTGACGCTCATTCTGGCGATGATACGGGCTGTCTCCCTGTATTCCGTTGCTTCTAGCCCAAGAGCTTGTCTAGCCTCCATGGGTGATCTGTTGCCCATTCCGTCCGCCTACACAGCTTTCTTCAACCCAACAGCAAGTAAGTGTACGTCTCCAAAATTATGTTGCATACCCACCCACACAGGTATCCGGATATATATATATATATATTATATATATATATGACGCTGATGGCGGTGCCCTTGCCGGTGGGTCGATTCGTCGGCGGACTTACGGTGGTTGAAAACGTACCTCACCCCTCCGAAAAATGTTTCTAAGTCGTTTTCGTTACGAATCAACGTGAAGTTTACAGTAGCACGAAATTCCGAAGCATACCTGGTTTATGCTGAGGACGACATCAAGAGCGATCTGATCCGTCTTGGGGGCAAGACGGAACACCACACGAACAAGCGCGTGCACATACCAAGGGGGCAGTAACACGCAGCATACGCGTGCAAGTATATCTACCGTGGCAGTGAGCTTGCCTTGCTTCGCCACAGCTCCTCCGTCCGTCGCTTTTCTTCCTCCTTCTCGCGTGCCAGACCCTCTCCCACGAGGTGAACGCTTCGAAAGAACTTGGGGTCCTTCTCCAGCTGGCGACGCCCTCTCGGTAACCGGGAACGGCTACCGATCAAATTGGTGTCGAGCGGTCGCTCGTACTTGGAAGGCTGATTTTGAGTGTCGAACCAACATGCGCGCGAGAGGTAGTATTAGGACGGGCGAGTGGGTGAGTGGCGAGATATTACCACGCATCGCATCCAAATCCTGTGCCCGACCGTCCAAGTCCCACGGAAATGCATTTTGGCTTGTGGGTCTGAAAAAACGGCAACACACAATCCAAAAACACGGTACTGAATGGAAAAATAATTTATTTCAGTGAGTAAAGCTGCCTCTGGCCACCATTCCTTTGCGTACAGTTTTCTCGAGGGCTCAAGCATAAGACATTTATCTTTCGATGTGTCCCATCAACACGACAGTACTAGCTGACCCGCCGGAGGAGTTATTGAGGCGACGCCCGGAGTCGGTGTCCAAAGTCGTCGTGCGGGACCCGTGACATGCACCCCTCAAGCAGACCTTCCATGGCTTCCGCCTTCAGCAACCAAACGCTGCACCTCAACGGGGCGTGCAAGGCACAGTTTCGAATTCGAACACCACCTTTCTCTCGGTGGTTTACTTCGGGCACGCCTGATAGCTTCGTGTTCGCCGCAGCACATGTCTTACATTCATCATGGAAAGGGTCCTTCTCCTTTCCAAGTCGAACACGATGCCATTGCCATTTGAGGCTCGATGCCTAGCACCTCCGCGGTCGCCAGCAAGCACCGCTTTATATCAACCGTATCAACAACACGTCTCCACATGTGTGCGTATCATCCAAGAACAAATGTACCGGGACGTATTTTACGTGTGTATATATATATATATATATAGGCTATCGCCCTACCTTCAGCCCTCCGAACACGGCCTTTCCGTTCGACGGAACCGTATCGAACTCCCGCCTCCACGCTAGCTCCAGCGGCCCGCCTGCGTCTCTTGCCCCTGCCATATGCTCTTGCATGCCACCGTTGAGTTCGTTCTCGATCCACGGCTCCCTCAGCGTGTCTATACGACTCTCGCTGGGCTTGGAAGGGTGGGTAATGAGCTCTTGGCGCGATCGAGGGCACGGCCACACAAACCCTCGGTTTGTTTTCCACGCTGCCCTGCTAGCGGCCTTTTAGAAGGACGGGTCGTGTCACAACGGGTCGTGATGCGGGGGAGCGGTGAGACCGGGAGGTATGAGTGTGCAGGAGATAGGAAGGGGTTGTGTTTGCCGGAAGCTTGATTTCAGCTTTTTGGGCTCGAACGTGTTTTTGCTCTGTGGCCTGCCGGAGGTTGCGAGGAAATTGTAGCTGTGGATCGGGCGGAAAATTATAATTGATTAAGGCATCAAGCCCTCAAGCTCTTCAACAAGCGACTACTCTTCTGGAGATTGTGCACCGTGAACCGAGACTCGACCATCCATCGCAGAAAATACTTCACACTTGCGGATAATAAATGAATGGGCAAAGACCAAGGGTTAGCTTTCTCTGTAGGACGTAGATTTCTCTGTAAAGGTCTCAGCCCCCTTAACAGGGAAAACATGTTGAAATTGAAGCCCTGATCCCTAGTCAAGCGAAATTCTAGTGAACAAAGAATTTGTTGATCGGTGTGGCGCCCACCACTTCGAAACAACTAACCAAGCAATTACCAGAAACTAGAAAACAACCAATGGGATCGAGTGCGCGATCAATCAGGTTTCTTAGTCCTGACTTTGGGAGGGGAAGATGACCGTTGAAACGTCAAGATTCGTATTCACCTCCTCGTCTTCTTTAACGCGGAACTCGTCCACTAGACTGACGGTCTGGCTCACGTAGTCCATGCTGTACGTGAAAGTGGCGCCCTTCTCCTTTGCCAGCCTTTCTCTCATCTCCGCCTGGACAACAGATTAAACGCAAGGTGTGCGCCATCACAGCTTGAATATTTCGCTTGGGTTGTCACGTGATCTGTATGCTTCCAAAGTACTTTGGAATTATTGCCCAATTTGCTGTCTCACAAGCGCATCGTTGCGGAAATTGGCCGTGGCAGGCTTCGTTCCAATGTTATCTTTTGGCACGCAACAGGAGGGGCTACCAAGGTCCCTCCGGATCCAAACGAGATGTTTTGGTAGAGCGCAGCGACCACAGACCGCAGACAATGGGTTTTATGTGGGTCGTAGTCACCGATTCACTTACCTTCTTCAGCTCGACATAGTTAAGTTTCTGAGGGCCGTAGCACCACTCCGTGGGCACTGTCTCCCCCCTGCGCTTCTCGTCGTTTCGCTTCTGTCTCTCTACGAAAATGTCATGATTCTTTGCCAAGATCTCGTCCTGATTTGTTGACCGCGACGGCACACGCGACAATAAGAAGGTATGAAGGGCAGGCGAACTGTTTCTTAGAAGGGTGGGCGAAGTGTGTCTTTTGTATCCCGGACGAACACCTAGTCTCGTTGTACGTGTTTCGGGACAAAATCAACTATAGAAGGTGTCTTGCTCACGCGCGAGATGTTTGGTTGGACAGACACCGCTCACCTCGTATCACTGAGCCCTGCGTAAATATGGAGGCGGGTGGTTGAACCACGTTGTACCTTTGGTGACCCCACCTTGCCCATAAGCCCTCCCCACTGACCAGTTCCCGGTGACCAGTCTAATCACCTGTTCCGCCAAGAAGTCCCTCGATCGCCTACCCCTCAGCCATTCCTCGAAGGCCAGGTTTGTAGAATCTGTCGAGGCCTTCCGCCTGGCCGGCGCTTGCTTGCCCATGCTCAGGTTACCCTCTCCGTCCCCTCCTGCTACGCCGGGTAGGGTGGCGGCGTTTTCTATGTTTGTGGAGGCGGTGGGAGTGGTGTCTACGGCTGGTCCATCTCCAGCGGCAGGGTTTCCTCGTCTCTTCTTGACGGGGTTCCGCCCAGTGATGTCCTTGACGGACACGGACTCCCCGTACTTGCTCTCTACCTGTTGAGTCGTAGTTGTGTTTTGACATAAAATAAGGCTGGAATTTTGCGCGCGAACTTCAAAAGAACGCCCCCCCCGGTGTTTGCCATCGGGGTTGGGTTTCGTCGCTTGGCAACGACGTTGTAAAACGAGCCAATTCACTTCGTGAACTCGGCAACCAGGTTACCGTTTTTGTTTACCTCTTTTTTTTGTTTTGGCGGTAACCATAAGGGTGGTCGAGTAGATCATATTGTGCGGGGTGGACAAGCCTCACTCCGCGCAAGGGGGACAATTGCACCACGTTGTGTTCATATGGTCAAGCACCCTCGAGGCAGTTACACAGTGCTTACAACTGTCTCAGGAAGTGAAAGCACCAGAAAATGAATTAAGTCATACGCAGCTGTCATCCGTACGCAAGGAAGTAAGCACAAGATGCCAAACACCCTTAGCAGGATGCAGCGCACCCTTCGACTCGCCGAATATCTCACGGCGCTTCGCGCTTGGTGATGTGAGAGCCTGGTCTGGTGAGAACCCTATTAGTACACCCCCTTCAAAAGAACGCGGCGTTCGTTGTTCGTGCATGTTGTAGCGCGCGCTCGGTCTCGCGGCGACCCCACCATTGCGGTGCATCGCACAACATACTCGAATGTACTACAGGGAGCACGCTATTCGCTCTACGCCACCGGATCTGTGGGCGATGTTCCGAGCTGAAGGTCTCTGTGAGACAGGAGGCCGCCTGCGCATACCTGAATAAGTTGAGCACCCTCGGGAAAAAGGCCTTGTTCCGCGGCCTCCCGTAACCTATCGACCTTTCGCAGCATCCGTAGGCAGTGGAGAGCGTCGAAGCAGTCGGCGCTGACCTTGGAACGGTCATAGATTTCTGGGTTCTGGCAGAGGGTTGGTAGCGGGTCTCGCAATCGTACCTTTCAACGTGGACACCCGCCAATAGCCACACGGAAAGACAGGTCGAACGTTGCGGATCGTTTGTGAAGAAGGGGTGGGTGCTTTTTGTAATTCCTTCCATTTGGTCGTACGGCGTAGAGTATTTACCTCAACTTCATGCGCTCCAACTCGAAATGCTACTAGCGTCGTCGAGAGGGATTGTTCAGACGTCAATAGTCGGCCAGTTCAATGTGATCGAAGAAACAGAACAACATGTAGGAACAAGATAAAACCCTCAGCTTCAATTGAGGACGTCACTCAGGGCGACTGCGTCTTCCCAATAGCTTAAATCTACAATCACAGCACCTTGCAGAACTTACGAAACAGGCCTGCGCGAGCAGCTTACGAGAATGGTGTTAACTACTGAGGTGTACTTACCTTCTTCAAGTCAGCATCGAAACAGGTGTACATCCGCCTTGAGAACCTCACTTCAGGGTTCTCCAGCGCTCGATACGCCTGCCCGTTTGGCCCGGTGCGCCCCACCTTTTTCAAGAGTGCAGTGAGTCCTCCCTGGGGCCCACATAACCCCTCTAGCACCATCGTGCGACTGCAATCGTCGATGATCATGAAACCGCACACGATGTCCAGAGCGCCGTCATCTGCCGCTTGCTTCTCCTGAGGATATCCCAATGAAACGCGCGAGGTGCTGTGCTCAGCGTATGCACGCTAGATCACACAACCATATTAAGAGGCTGCAGCTCTGGAGCACCTTTCCACCACAACAATGTTCACAAATAGAGAAAAATGCATCAGCATGGCCTTCATCTGGGAGGCAGCCACGCTCCAAAGAGTCGTTGCCAGCGCTTGCTGTCTGTACTTCCACCATCAGTCTCTACAAAGTGATGTGGGTGACATTTTTGCTTCTCTTTTGTGAACATTTCTGAACATTTCCCATGCGAGCTTCTTGTCGCAAGCAAGAATTGGTTACGAAGCTAAGGATTTGATAGTCACGAACACGGACAAGGTTGAAAGGAACTCTTGTAGTGATCTACCTTTTCGGCACGAGAATTAAGGGAAGGCATTCAAACTTGCACTGAAAAAGCTCCAAGCGAGGAAAGACAACAAACGACCAACCGCATGTGTTGTCTCCTACCGAATGTACATTACCTCTGGAGAGAGAACGTACGCCCGTAGCGAGCCCCGAATGTTGTTCAAGGCGCGGCCGTTGATGCTGTCCATCGCCGCCGTAACATCTCTTGTGAGAGCCCCCCCTTCCTCGTATTCCACCACAAAAATCGCCCGCGAAAACGGCCTGGGCTCCTCTGTCGCCGGCCCGGTGCGCTCCGCTGAGCCCTCCTCCAGAGTGCGGAGAGGCCTCGCTAGCGACAGTCTGCATAGATTGCGTGTTCACGGATGTGTTCACGGATGTGTTTCGCGCGTTCGAAGTCCGTCAGTGGTCATGCAACGAACAAGGGCGCAGCGTACTACACTAATTACTAGCAGCACGACGGTCACCCGCCCGCCCGGCTTGTTCAAGCTCGCGCAGTGCGCGGCACCATTGAGCAGAGCTAGAGCACACATGCGCACACCCATTGCCGTTCACTTCGATTCGCTCGCCTGACTCCAACCGAGGATCCCGCGTCAAGGTACGCGCCGGGCCAGCGCACGAAGCGCTCCTCGTCCGTCAAGTGCCAGTCCTCGACCCCTCCCCTGGGGATCTCCCGCCGTTTCCTCTGGCAGATCTCAGCTCGCATCTTTAGCCGCGGAGCCACATCCGTGATCGCCGATGGAAGTGCCGACGTAGCTGTGCTGGCGTCGTCTTCTAGTCTTCGCTTGCTGTTGCTGTACGCCATGACCAGCTGGCGGCTCTGGTCGAGGAGCCCCGAAAGGTGGAAGGAAGCCACACCGTGCGCGTTGTGTTTGCCCGCCGACCCCGCCATAGCGATAGCTTCCCTCAAAACTAGCTCATCCACTTCATGAATATCTCTTGGCCCCGCGCACCTTCAAGACAGAGAGTTTTGACGACACTTGCGTGGGCTGATTGGTCGTGGGAAACGACTCTCAAATCGATTGAAAGTCCTGACAAAGCGGATAATTCGAAGAGCTGTTATCACAACGATAACATGATGAACTTACTTGGCAGGAGTCGGTTCCTGACCCGCGCACGTATCAGCTCCTCCACTATCAGTGTTTGCCTTGGTTTGAAAAGCTTCCCCCGGGGAGGAGTCGCACGCATCGTCCTCCTCAGGATACCCACCAGAGACCATGCGTTCAAGTCTCAGGACTTTTTCCGCTTGCTCTTTGGTGGAAGGGCGGGGGTCTCTGTGGGTGGAATAGATAGGTTTGCAACCATGATAGAGGCCCGTATGCAAGGGTACGCCAAGTCAAAGACGGCCTCGGGCAAAGTATGTAGTGTATGAAACGATCCTGTGTCGAGAAGTTGCTGTTGAAAAGCTTGGCGTGCGAAGACGTCGACACGGGGCGACGTTGTTCTATCGCTGGACTGATTCAGAATTGACAGGGGATCTGTGCGAGAGTCTGTTGGTGTGATGGGGGTAACAGGCACTACAAAAGAACTATCGCCTGTTCTGGGTACAGCCGACCTGCCTCGAACAGATAACTGGTCACAGAGAAGCTCTTACCTTGATGCAGATGCCCAACATATCTCAACCGCCAACAATGAAATACACGGAGAAAAGACAAAGGTGTTGTGGTTGCAGTCGAGTCGCTTACATGGTATCCTGTGGGTATGTACAGTATTTGCCTTTCACCCTCTTCACGTTAACCAAGTGCAAACGTACCTATCATGAACCTCCACAGACAGCAGGGAATTCTCCATCCAATCCTCCAGTCGATGGCGATCCATTTGACCAACGAGAAATGACGTAGTGTGCTCGAAGTGCGCCTTATCTCGCTGGGCTGATCCCGCTGTCCACAAAATGCGCGGATGAAGTGACTCGCCCAAGGGACCCTTTGGAAATGGTCGGCATACGATGTATACCGGCTTGCAGTGAAGCTCCAAAAGCTTAAATTTGGTCGGTTTCACGTGGTCCTGGAGTGAATTAGCTTCGATTTTTACTCCCGGCAGCGACACCGCCGATGAAATTTGTATCGAGAAAGGATTCAGGCGCTCCATTGCTTCGGCCGAGAAGAGCTTTCGCTCAAGCCGTTCGATTGATTTTCCCTCCGCGGTGGTAGTGACATCGCCTGCTGCTGATCCGGGGTGAGCTAATTGACCACCCTCCGGGGATTGGTTTGGGTCTCCACCCACCACTGGATTTGCAGGTCCTAATCCAGGTAGAGACACGGATAACTTAATGTGCCGTATTCCTTCTGGTGCGGGGGGGGCGTCCAATACCTTGCTGTTGTCAGGAGTCTCTTCTGGGTGCCAAGCTATTCCACCGGAGGATGATGGCAACCTCTCCCGTGATAAAGACGTTTCACGAGTTGAGTCATTAGCCTCTTGAGTTTGGCCACCACCGCCGACGTTGACGGAAACGCTAGTCTCGCCCGCCAGGAAGGCACTGAGATCAAGCGGCCACGACTCAATGAAATTACGTCCTGAAAGGATTTGTGCGGCTTCGCCGATTTTGTGCCCATCATTGTCTCCTCCTTTTACCAGACCTTGTCCTGGAGGTTGTGCAGTTGCCCCGCGTAAGGACTTGTCTGCGAGCGTGACTAACATGATCGGCTTCTGGTCAAGTGTAAGGGCGACCTGTGAACAATACCAGCACCAGTGACAACGGGAATATGACGTACAGACTGCACGAACTATGGTGTCCAAGAAATTGTAATTATCCGATTTAGGTCATGCTCACTCTACAACATGCGATATGACGCCTGTTATTAAAGCCATGCGCATATGTTAACCTAATTGACGAGCTGCTGAGCTGGAGGGATAGATGGTTGCGAAGAACATTGATAGTTCGGGTTGTATCCACGGCATGCGCATGATCAATATGTGGATCATGCGGTCTCCGAGTTGTTGATCCCCCCGGTGTATATGAACCGCACCTCGTCCTCGTTTGCTCCTTGCAGCTGATGTGTCCTTGTATACCTCCACACAATGGGCTCGAGAGGCCCTTCGTTGGCATCTGGCTGTCTGTCTGCATCTGCGACCCCAGCAGGTTCCTTGGCCGCCGTTGTGGACTGGACCGCTTCTTGCGCATTTTCGCTTATGTTTGCAGCAGGATTCAGTCTGGTCCACGAAGAACCAGGGAGGCCGACCGGCGGGGTAGTGATTCTTTCGCCATTTATGAAAGTATATCTAAACACAGGCTCCACAAGAACCGGCTCGTTGCCCTCTGCAACATCGTCGCCACCATCACTGCCACGGGAGTCTGCCGTACGGCCGGAGGGATCGACTAACAAGGACACATCGAGCACGAGGCACAGGCAGTAGGGAGTGCCCGGAGCCGGTTGGGGAGGTTCATCGATCACATTGAGAACGGCCCCAGCACCCTTCGCTCCCCTTTTCCCCTTATCTTTGCCCTTGGGTGGCATGGATCTACCTCAGGATGGCTACCTGCGGACGTTGGAGCGCGCCCTCGGAGTCGCGTGCACATGAAAAAGCAGTAAAAAGATGTTGCATCACAGGTTACAGATGCTTCGGAACTCCCTACGAACACCTGTACAATACGCGGATCCCCCTCTTGCCGTTGCGCCGCCGTCGACGCTCCGCGCTCCGACCACTCTGACTCCACACAGCAGTCACAGTGGGCTCGCAGGCGAAGAGCATGGAGGGGTCCAACAATGGACCACCAGGAGATACCAGTGATGTACCATCCACACCCAGGGCTTGCAGGACTCCAGAGGCCGCCCGCACCCATGTGGATCTGACCCGCCGTGCCCGTGGCAGTATAAGTGCAACAACGATTGTACCGCATTCGCACGAAGGATCATGCCCTCGAAGAGACATTGCTCATCAAGGAGGAGTAGAAGAAACGACACCACTGGTTGATGGTGGGGTCGATTCTGATATGTCAGCTGACCACCCGGGGCACGGTTGTGGCCCTAGTCATGGTTTAACGGGAGTGCCTGCTGCTGTTTCAACAAATCGGTCCGCAGTCACAGCGGAAACAGGAGAGGATTACAGCAGACTCGGTGAGTCGGTGAGGCGCCTTTATTGCTACCGTGCGTATTAAGTGGGGCAGTCCAACCAATATCACTCAGCTTGTCTTCGGGTCAATCTCATTTGAGAATGCCAGACTCGGAATAATGATTGAGTTGCTGGTGCTGTGGAGTTTGCATCTTGTGAAAATGTCCACAGCAGCGACATTCTGTGCACCGTGAAGTAAACATGCCAATTGTTTGTTTTTCTCCCATCATTGGACTCTGTCGTCTGCCCCTCTGGCCCCTATCCTCCACTTCTACTAGCTAGACGACCCAACCGGGGTCACATAGGAGGGGGGGGTTGGACCCCCTCCTGCGGTTCATGCCTGAGGTATTTTTATCGCGAGAAGGGTACAGCAATCCCTTCCCTCGCGACTTACGAAGTCGATTATGGTTTAGTCTACTGACAAACGAGCTTTGCAGCGCGTCGCTTTCATCCTAGACCAGGATTTATTTGCGAGAAAAAACTCTCTCTGTCGGGACTCGAACCCATGACCTGGCCCTTAGCAGGCTGCGAGGCTACCCACTAGACCACCGGGGCGATGTACATGTACCGATACATGTGCCAATATGCCGCTGTGTACTCAGTGCAACCTTCCGCCGTCGGTGTATTGTAGCCCTCAGTCAACTCTTTCCGTCTCAACGATTCAGACACGACTGCCCTGTAGAATTGTCCAACCCTAATGCAGACCGACGTACGCAAGACGTTTCGTGCCTTGAACGCTGCCTTTGGCTCCAATTCGACCAATACACGCCGATAAGAACCTGTCGTATCATTGTTCACTTCGTATTTACACACTTTGTATGGGCGGCATGCGACAGAGCCGGTGTTAAGGGTGACTGTGATCCCTGGTAGGTCTCATGTGGCCTCATTGCATGCGATCACACGCTGACCCTACTATCCAAGTAGAGAATTGGGGAGGCGATGTAGGTAGAGTGCAGTTTACGCGAGCCTGTTCAAATCTTCCAAGCTTTAGTTGCAGCAGTTCGACACAAGCCTTTTGAGCTGGAGTAAAAGGCACAGTTAGGGGTGCTAATCGGGCTTGTATGAGCGTAAAAAATGCGTCCGGTCTGTTAGGAAATTTCAGATCTGGGGAAAAAAAAAAAAGGAGTCCGTCTGACGACGCCGGGACTCAAACTGCTTGAATTTAGACCGCTTTCATTGAAGTCTTGCACGACGAGACCTGGCGCCCAGAGACGTGTTGGCCCTTTATTCGTACATGTACCTGCGTACGGACCTGGACCAGTGCACAATAAGCTCCGATTTTCGTTTGAACTCACAGGGGGCCAGCAAAGAGCGAAAAACCTGTGATTTTGAAGCCTTCTCTTGCTTTGTTTCTACGGACGGGGGACCAACGTCGAATCACGAAATTCCGAGCTTATAGTGCCCTGCCTTGCGAGTCAGAGCAGACAGCACAGACGGAAGTAGAGTCCAATCGCGCACGCCGTTGGGGAGCCCTGGTGCGTCAAAAATGGCCACTTTTTCCCGAAATCTGACTAAAAAGGTTCCTCGTGATGAGCACGGACGAGCGTTCTTTTTTTTTTTTTGAGAAGGGCGATACAACAACACTCGGCATGCGGGCGTGAGGTGTTCTCTGGTCGCGGCTACCCCACGCGATGAGAGCTGAGTGTGTGTTTGGTGCTTCCCAGCAACTCGTGCGACTGCTGAACGGGAAATGGGCGTGTGTGATGTGTTGCAAAAAAGGAAAGCGGGCGCCTGGCTGGTTGGTGAAAAGTGCGATTTTCAACTGAACTGCTGGCTGTTTCGTTTGTTCAGCGACATCATCGCAGATGCTGCTGCTGGGATGCAGCGAAGAGAGACAAAACAGCTAGCACCCCCCGCGCATGCATGAAGCACAAGCCCGTTCGAGCTCGTGGTCTCTCCGTTGTGTAGGGTGCTCATTAAAGCAGCAGGTGGTGGAGCAAAGATGGTGTGCAGCAGACATTGTTCCAATAAAATGCCGGAAGGGCCAAAAAGCGACAGAAAAGACCCGCACGGCACAAAACCATCGCTGGTTGTGTCGATCTCGCTTGCTTGGCCTACGAGGCCAGACATCCAACCACAAGTCCAGGGACCGGTAGATGCTGCCCTCCTTCGTAGAGAAAGGGTGGCGGCAAGCAATGGCGAGCAGTCCCGTCAGCAGCGTTTGTGATGACAGACAACGCGTTCAGTCCGAATGCAACGTATATTTTTTTCATCAGACAGCAGCAGCAAGCAGCAGCAGCAAGCAGCATCATCAAGCAGCATCAGCATCAGCACCAACACAAGTCTCAACCTCCAAGGGCCAAGCAAACTGACTGCTTTGCCGGCGTCGTGCTCGTCACGTTTGTCTGTGGGATTCTTCCGCTTTCGCAACCCTTTTGTATCTGCGCGAGTTGTGTGTAGCTATGGTGTGTGCTCCTCTCCTCGCTAAGATGTGAAGTATGTAGTTTCAGGTGCTCAAGGACCGGTTCTAGAGATTTGGTTGGCTCGATCAATTTTCCATCTTAAAGATCCGGGACACATTTTCAAAAAAATTCCTACCTGGTACATGTTTTTGGGGCCATTAGCACCTGTAACAGTCAGTCGGTTTTGCCCGCTCTTTAGACTGACTGTTGACTATTCTACCCCTTTTAGAAACGCTCTTAATCTTCCAAGGCAAGGTACCCTCTATACTGTAGACGTCGGCCAACATGGCACGTTCCACCTTGAACTTCTTGTTCGATTAACGTCAAGAGGGTCTTGGGTCTACAGTCGAAACTCTGCTAGCGAGGCTCACAATTTGCGGACGATTCCTCTTCTGCCGTAAGCAAGGCCGTTTTCTCCAGATGCAGGAGGACATGCAGAATAGGTACGAGGTCTAGCATCAGGGGGCAATCTGACGTGTCTAAAAATCTGTTAGAGGGCGAAAGGGATATAGTGCTATCATGGACAACCTTCGCGGCACGTCGCGAAGATGTTGATGCCACCGAATGTAACAGATTCCAGACTCATGCCTCAAGTGTTGGCGGGCGATTTCTTCGTCGAGAAATTTGTAGACCTCATTGCGCCTGGTACGCGGTGATCAAGGCTACTTCTTGTAGGCGATGACTCGGAGGCATTGGAAGAAGAGGTAGCACTGAAAACAATGCAGGCTGCAGAGTAGGGCCTGTCCAACGAACAAGTTGATAACATATCGAGAGAAGAGGACGACGGCGACGGCGGTGGCGGTCGGCTATTCGTCATGCATTCCGTCGCCTCCTACAGAAGTACGGGTTCACTCTCGTTTTGAGGACGTTCGCCTCATTTTGTACGCGAACAAAGAAATATCGAACACAAGGAAACACACCTGCTTGCGCTCGAGAGCAGTGCCGTCGTTCACGCATGACACTCAAGAAAGGGTAGAAGGAGGCGGCGAGGTGCGGCCAACACCTAAATAGTGATATTCGATACATGGTATGGGAGCACGAGTTGCTCGCCACGATATGCTGTCCTGCCGCATCCCGACCCCTCCTGCCAGAGGTGTGTCGTTTGAGGTATATAACATCTTAGTTACCCCCAGTTACTATCCATCCGTTACGGATATGTTTAGACTCGAACACCTATGCGTCCTGATTAACGGGTCGACTGTAGACGTTTTCCCAGCCTGCCTCATCCCTTCACTTGTCCGCTTTGTTGACCAATCCTAGCTTGCCATTCCGACTGTTTCCTCGCCAGGCATAACCACCAGCGCTCGGGCATCAAGTGAGGCCGCCTCGCACCCATACTTCGCACGAACGGGTACAGCTGAATGTAGCGACAGCGCTCCCCTACGTGTCACTAGAAGCATTAGCAGCCGGAACCGTAGAGCTGCATCGATGTCTTCAACCCGTCCCGTGGTGCCCACCGCACGTGGGCTAGAACTACAGAGCTTGATTCCTCGCACGCTGTCCGCGCGGGCGTCAACCTCGTCGCTGTTCACACCTCTTCCTGGGGCTGGTTTAGCCGACACGCCTCGCTCTCGGTCTCCGCCTTCGTCGCAGCAGCAGCAACAACAGCCACAACAGGACCGGCAGAATCATCCCACGGCCTACCCGCTTAGAGTCCCGAATCGCCACGGAAGGTCGGACGGCGGTCGAGCTAGTATACGCCGTTTGGCCGGGGGCGGTAGAGATGCATGGAGGACAGCACCGGTGGCGTACAGCGCGGTCGTGAGGGGGACGGGGCGGGATACCACGGCGCTGAGGGCAGTGTCGGCACGACTTGACGCGGCCTCAACCGCAATAGATGCCGTAGAGATAGGTGTGAGATCGGCATCGGATAGCCTGGATTCTCTCCTACAGCTGTTGGAATCCCGGCATGGACCAGCGGTGTCGCAAACGTCGCTTTCATCGACCAGTGCTGAGGTGGATGCGTTCGAGAATGGATCTGCTGACCCTGGTCCTTCTTCCCGAGGAATAGGAGAAGGAGGGCGAGCAGCAGCATCATCTGACTCGCAAGCATCCGCTGGTGCAATGTCTATGCGTTCACCGAGGAGTTCAGTTTCACCGCCGGCTGTGTCTCTTCCTACTTCTTCTGGGTTGATGGTAGGGGCTTCGTCAAGTGAATCACCACGGGACGAGTTCAATGTTTCAACCCCACCGCCGCAGCCGATGGGACCTCCACGGTACGCCAACAGAGACGGTGCACCCATCGTTGCCCGTGTGCCAGAAGGTGGTGGAGGGTCGCGTGCGGCCATTATGCTGAGAAGGGAACAACAAGCAGGTTTGACTGCATTCAGCAACCCAGAGGCTGGGGAACATCTTTGTCGGTCGCCTGCTGTCCTGCCGAGGCAAGATGGTGGAGCACAAGAAGGTTCTGTCGCCACTGGAGACACTTCAATTGACGAGACGAACGAAGAGCATAGCACGCGGACGAGGTCAGGTCAACATTTGACCTCTGCACTTGCGCTACCGCGCCCGGTGTCCTCGCCAGCAGTACAGGAACTTGTTGAGGAGGTCAATAGTAGTAGGAGGACGGCGGAGCGAGAAACAAGCGAAAGCCATGGTGTCGGAATGGCGGGATCGGCTACCGCGGGACAACACCTTCCCGCAGACATCGGCATTGGTGGGACCATGGAAGCAGCACCTACTGACCTCGCTGCCTTGAGAATGCTCGGCAGTGATAGGACTACGTCTCTGAACAGTGTGCCGCGCTCGGTTCGAGAAGCTGGAAGCAGACGGGCGTCTCCGCGCGGGATGGAAGGAACGGGCAGCGGTGCCGCCTCGTCAACACGTGAGACATACGCCGGCGAAACCTCCGGCCGCGGCAACGTGGCTCTCCCGGTCCGGGAGCTGAACGGCATCGACACCGAGCGCGGGAGGCTGATTTTGGAGATCGCTCGCCTCCGTGGGCAACAGAATCAATCTCTAGTCCACCTCCATCGCCTCCAACACGAGCAGTTTGTCGTGCGCCAGCGGCAGGTGTCCACCCTATCCGACATTGTCAACAGCTTTGGTCGAACCGTGGCGGCGGCGGCCGCGCTCCCTCACGGGGAGGACTCTTCTCTGGGGCGCATCAGCAGCGACGTTGTGTCCACGCTGCGGCGGATGCTCCGTCTCTTGTCTGCGACGGTCCCCGCTGCGACTGCCGCACAGTTAGCCCCGGGCAATTCTCCCGTGCTGACGACGACGTCTTCCGTATCCGATGGCACCCCGCCCCCCGCGCCTAACACACCACGTCCCACCGCTGTACGAGAAGGACAGGTAGCCAGCGGCTCCGCCGGCACTTACTCCGTGGGAGGGCGGGTGGCGCTACGGCCCGCCGGAGTGGACCTCACGCAAGAGGTGATCGATGCCGCTCTCCAGGCGCTTCCCAGATTGGCGGCCGCGGCGACAGCGATATCGGGTGCAAGCCGCATGCAAGGATACCTTGCGGACCTGGCCGGTGGTGGAACAAGCGATACCGTGGGGCGTGGGAGCGACTACACTGGTCGTTGCTGCTCAAAAGAGACTATTGCCGCGCTCCCGGATGCCTCTCAACCCGTGGAGGGAGCTGTTGGAGAAGTTGACGGCGGTGATGTTCGGGGGTGCGTGATCTGCCTGTCAGAGAATGACACGGCGGGGCAGCACCTCTGTCGCCTCCCCTGCAACCACGTCTTCCACAGGGTCTGTGTTGGGAAATGGCTCTCGATGCAGGATTCGTGTCCGACCTGTAGGAGGCAAGTGCCGAACGTCGAAATTGGCTCCACTCTCGCAACTACGGCGCCCCCCCATGAAGTGGCGTGAACTTTTACGTTAGCGATGTGTGTCTCTCTGTGAACGGTATGCCCAAAGGACTGCAAGTTGAGGCGATTTTGTTTTGGGCGTCTTCGCGGGCATTGGCATGTGTTAACCTGTCTGCGTGTGTAATTGTACATCCTTGTTTGCATATCTCAACTCAAGTGTGCTCGCGTCTGTGCTCGCGTCTGTGTTTGTACTTTACTGTGTACGTGCTTTGCTATTCTGTATGTTGTACCTGGTAGAATTGGTGAGCTGTCCTGCATAGCTTCCGTCGGAATTACGACCTTTGTGTAGATCATGTGCATGTGTGCATATGCATACGCGTACCTGTTTCGGGTGTTCGACGCTCTCCCCACCCCATGGAGGCCCACATCCACCTGATCTTTCAGTTCACTGGTGTTGACCGCGCTACTTGTGTCAATTTGCAAAGAAGAATCGGTTGGGCTGGGGATGCGCCTGTACTATCCCGCCTAAACATGCGTACTTGGAAAAAACAATTTCCTACGGGAGGCCGATCTCTCTGGCTCTTGAAAGATATACTTCGTATGCCACTGGCAGTCGGCGGTTCGCTGTCCGTAACGAGAAGTATGTGGTAGCAACGTTGGTCGAGGGAATGGTGAATGCAAGCTCAAGGGTGTACCCGCGGCATCATTCCGACGACATGGCGTAAATTCTCCATATCGAACACCTAGCACTTTCTCTCGTCAAACTGTCCCGTTCACTGTACCGGTACGAAAGAAGTAGTTCATTTCCCCAAATTGAACCGCTAATCTGAATCTCAAACAGCCGAACCACACTTCATAAGGTTCCTTCATATTTCCCGATTGCTCGAGCCAGCTGCAGGGGGCGTTTTTTGCGATGTGGCAAGCTCCCCAGTAACTACGTTGGGGAAATATGTGTTGGCTACTGTACGTGCATTACTCGGCTGCACTTGGTCTACTATAAGCTCTTTGCAGCAGCATTTCTTGAACGCATAGTATACGGCACGAAAACCAGTCTGAGAAGGATGTTATGCATTGCCGTGGGCCTTCACTTGTCCGTCCCTACTAGTCTATACCACCGCACACGCTGAAACACGAGCACTCCTATAAAACATGTTGGGTACTGCTGTATTCATCGACGTTCGGAACATGCGCTTCTTGTCACGGGCCATTCAGAGAAGTCAGGCACCGCCAGAACCGCGCGCCCCTCCTCCAGCCATGGCCAGGACCTGCTTTTCCAGCAAGCGGAGAGTACTCATCACATCTTCGCTCCCTGGTCGATTGCCTCCATCGCTGGATCTCTTCTTCTGCTCTTTGTGGCGTCTTACCGCCTCCCGCGCAGCATCGGCGTCGGCGGTTGCCAGAGCCCCAGCGCCGAATACCGAGGGTCCTTGGCTGCGGAACAACTCGGCGACGGAAGGGTGCACCCACTCCGTGGTGGGAGAAGTACCCCGTGACCCTGCATAGGTCACCTTTTCAAGGCCTGTATTATTGAGGCCTGCGTGTGGGGGGTAACAAATGGAAGGGGAGGGTATCTCGTTTGCCGGTCTTGTACGAAAAAGTATAGGGTGGGGAAGACAAACACCTAGCGGGCAGCGGCGGCTTTCCGGGGGGAAGGGGGGGGGGGGCGTTCCATAGGTTGTCCACCTTTATTTTCCTACTTCTTTTCACCATGTGACAAGCCCGCATTGTTTTACCTCTAACGTTTTGGAGGTCGCTCCATTTTCGGCGTCGTTGGTGGCATGGGCGTACGCTAATATATATATGCTGCTCACCGTAGTGCACCACTTCGCGATATGTGCTGAATGTAACTCAACATACACCTAGACTTTTTAGCATTCACAGCAAGATCCACCAGTCCCCGAATAAATCTTGACCTTGCAAATTGAGCGGGTGCTTAATCCAGTGAGGGACTTCATGTTGCTATGTCGTCGGTGTGTGGTACACCTTTCGAACATCGATGAAGTACAGCAGAACCCCCAACGAAACGTCAAGTTACATCAAAAGCATGGCTCTGAAGACCGGGGGGCTTCCTCATCACCTTTGTCGTATTTCTGATGAAGCAAGGAGCTCAGGTTCTTGTACGACTGTTTTACTTCTTTGCACAGCTGCGCCGTTGCGGGAGGAGCTGATGTCTGCCGGAACCAGCATGTTTTCAACGGACAATGGGCGCATGGGAGGGTCATGCTAGGAACACAATTTTCTAATGGTGGCGTAACACTACTGTAGTAATTCCGTGCGGTTTGCGACGTACAATACCGGTATTCTTATTATTCAACGTGTCTCGAGCTTGTTTAAGGTTGATCGGAGGCAGCACCGATTGTCGTTCAAAACATGCAGACACACAAAGAAACATGCTTACGAAGATATGGGCAAGAAGCCTCCCCTTCGTTTGCGCGTCCCCTCTGCTTGAGGCGACCCCCTCACCTCGGTTTCGGCGTTCATGAAGATCGAGTCGATGAGGTCATTCGACTTGTCGGGCACGGCGCCGGCGAGTCCGTCGAAGGCTGCGTTTACCAGGTCCCCTTGCATTTGGGTCAAGGATTTTCCTCCTTCACCATCCTCCCCCCATGAGGAAACGGCTGTTGCCGGCGGCAGGGGTAGACCGGCAACTTCATCCGCGTCGGATGCGGCCGCTACAACCACCACCCCGATCTTCAGGGCCATGCCGATCTTGGAGCCCCACCCGCCCGGCAAACTCATCTTGTATCCCCTGCCATCCTGGCCACACCTATTTGGAGGTATCCATCACCGGCACGTGTTTGGAGCACGTGATATCAAGGGATAGTGTGTGGGGGGGTGAGGTTCGTGGTTCCGTCCAGGGGACGTCCCGCAACGTGGTTTCTCGTGTCAGGCAGAGGCTTGGAGCTACCTGGTCGTATGGAGTACTATGGCACGAGGGCGAAGGGGAATAGCGATGGGACACAAGTGCTGACTGTACTCTCACCAGCCAGGCTTCATGGAAATCGGGCACAAAAAGACCAGTCTTATCGGCTTCTTTAGCCACTCGTCTGTCGTGATGTCGACGCTCCGTGGCTTGCCGCTATCGTCCGGGTAGATCCACGCCAGACGTGGACAATCCACCTCATTGGCGCCACCGACCTGTTACCATCACGCAATCACTGGTGTGCGTTATACGGCTGTAGAACGGAAGCGTTTACTTGCTCGGCAGAGCTGTGGCGTCCGTACCGTTCAGTGCGTAGTCCCAGCCGATGCCTAGCCAACCCGATTGCGTGATTATTTATACCTTTGTCCGAGTCAACCCTGTTGCTGCAGCGACTTGTTGCTACGCCCGCCCGCACCGACTGGTACTATAGTTTTTCCCGTGTCATGTGATTCACCATGTCACGCAGCCTGGAAACGTGCCCGCGCGTATGCTGCACCGCCGCCGTGTTCAGCTTCTCCACGTTGGGCACCGCCACTGCAACATCATTGTGGTCTCCGTCATCTTCCAACCGTGCGCTTTGCCCTCCGCCAGCCTGAGCCCCCGTGGCGGTTCCCGGTGTCGGAGACGCCGCGTCCGCCGCCCGCTCTAACGGCCACGTATTTCGGTGGGCGACACGACCAACAACGCAATGTTCGACAATGGAAAAGTTGAGGAGGTAGACAGGTGGGGGGTGAATAAGGAACAGACTCACTCTGTTCTGAAAAGCATTGGACACGACGTCGTCGGATGTCCACAACGCAACAGCTTCAGTTATACGAATGGTAGCATCCACGCCGCACCTAGGAGGAAAGCACAGGCTTCCTCCAGCAGGAACGAGTTGTGCAGCCGGACGGGGAACATCAGCCCGTGCGCCGTTTGTATAGAAGTCACATCCATGGTGGAGTCCCAGTAGATGCCTCGGACGGCCAACGATCCGGCCTTGGCCAGTGAACTCGCGTATTTGACCTCGTGCCGGACGCGGTCACTCTCCTGGAAGAAGTCACGGGGTAGGAGGGGGGGGGCGGGGGCATACAGATTGTGCTACGTCAGCACCTCTGTACACATCAAGTTCGACTTCACGGCCGACCACGGCAAGGAATGGCTGAATCCATTAGCGAAAATAATGAAGGCAAGCACCGAAGAAAGACGGTAGGGAAGAACATGAAAAACTTCTGTTTGGCCTTCTTCCTGTAAAAATCCAGCTGACTCGTCCAGAAAACACTCTGAAAGGCGTCGAAATTGACGTCCAGAATGGATATGACGACACACACGGAAAAACGATATAGAACAGAAGTCAGAAATGAGGCCCCAGGAATTCAAAAGGCGTAGGCGACATTTCGGCAAATGAACAACACATAGATGCAGTTTCGCCCCCTCTCGACACGCATTGTATTGAAGCGTATGGTTCAATCCAATCTTCATGGGGGTTAGCAACGCACACCACGGCTAACTGTGCCACCCGCTGAGCGGTATTGTGGTTGGTCGAACGTTCGCATACAGCATACTCTGGAGTACCATCCACCACACCTTGGCGGACATCGACCAGCATATCTGGAAGATGGACGATTCTCGTATTAGGCGTCTCGTATCCTTCTCGTTTCCATCCTCTGGCCGCCAAACGATGTTGAAGACGCCCAAGCGGTTGAACCATTCGAAGGACGGTAGCAGCAGCGGCTTGTCGGCCGCAGCGAAGCAGACGTACATCGTGTCGAACGCCTTGGATTTGACGTGTCGTGGTCCGATACATGACGTGACGCGACGTAGTAAAAAAACGGGGGAAAGGTCCACAGGGCGCAGGACACGCAGACATGTGTTTCGGTTTCAGGGGCACATGGGGAATTCGTTTTGGTGTTGGTGTGGGCACCAAGCATGATTCGTTTCGTTTGTGCAAAGGGGCATTTTCAAGTCAACAAGAGTTGAGACGGTCGCCTTCCTAAACCAATCACGAAAGCAAGGTCACGCGATTACCCCCTCTCCCATCCAGCGCGCATCCACCAGTCACCTTCGCGACTGGGCCGAGAACATCAGGCTTGTCCGCGGCGCCACTGCTGTCGTTCGGCTTCACAACGGACATCTCGACGTAGGCCTGGCCTATCAGCACCGCCCCAATGTAGAAGTCCACACAGCCGGAGATGGCACCGCTGCTGGTAGACGCCGGCGGGCGCACCTCGAAAGGGACGGCGTGGACGTCCTTCATCCACACCACCGTGGAGTTCACAGGGCTAACGCAGCAGGTCTGTGTCGGGTGTTTACAATAGGTGTCGCGCGGCAAAGAAAGGAAGTTCGGTCACACGGACAATAGGCTACAACAGAGGGTGGGTTGGATGGACTGACGAACGACACAGAAGTCAGGGAGGAGCGAAAGGTGAGTGAACTTGTGGGGGTGCGGCTGCAACATACAATACTAGTTGTGAGACGTTGGCGGGTACACTTTTCAGTGTGCTCGGGGAAAATCCTCTCTTGGCTACGAAGCCCGAACCCTGTTATTCCGTGTGGGATTTGACTGCGAGTAGTCTAGCCTAAGCCCCAGCAGGTGTTGCAAAGGGTGACATATGCCACCTGGGTAGAGACTGTTGCCTGTCCGCCAAACGAGCACCAGTTTTGGCGAAAGTTGTGCTTACCCGCGGGAATCTAGGTCGGACAACGACTTGGGTGCCCGGAGGGATGGTCTTGTCGCAATCCTCGACGGCGTGGCCGTTGTCGGAATCCACGAAGGGGTGGTGCTGGTCACCGCCGATGCGAGCTTGGTGCGCGTTGCGTACCGCGCTGTGCGCCGACGGCTCGAAAAGGTACGCTGTCATCGGGTGCCACTTTATTTTGTAGGTGGTAGCGGTGGTAGCGGTGGTAGCGTTGGTGTTGTTTTCAGTATGCGGAGGAAGCAAGGAGTGGGCAAGCACGAGTTGGAAAGGCAAGGTGGAGGACACGTAAGTGGTATTTTTGTCGGATGGCAATGCTTCCGCTAATTACGTACATGTTGCCGTTTTGGTGGGTCATGTGAGAGATATATGCAGGGGTTTACGGAGACTAATCGCTACCCTCCAAAAATGCGGCTTCCATACCACTTCCAGAATGCCACCCTTAAGAACCAACGGTGATATGAATCAAGACCTATTGAAGCGTCTCACTGTTTTAGTCACAACACGCAGCTACGGGATTGCGTCGAGGAACTCCGTCAACGTAGTGATCGCAATTTTAAGGTGTACTCCTACAGCTGTTCTGGGGCAAGGGGTTCAGTTCCACACGTTGCTTCCTTCACACCACACCTTTCCCCCACCCCTGATGGTTGGCCGGTACGCGACGCGAAAGTGGGCCCTCGTAGACACTGAATCCACATTCTCCTTTGCCCGCCCAGTGTCGCCCGCGTGCGCACCGGAACGGTTGCGACTCGTCCTCGGACTGCTACTCGCGGCCGCGGATCTTTCGTCTGGGTGGATGCATGTGTATAGATACATGCTTGCGTTAGCGCGGTATGATGGCTGGGCTGTTTGGGACAATAATGTCCGATGCTAGAAATCAACTTGGTTGTGGTAGTTCGGTGCACAACGCGACGTACTTCCGGCACCATTTGATACTGTTGTTTTACTGGACAGAAAACATTGGGCGGGGTCCTGCCGCTACGTGCAGACCCGGCCTGGCGCAAGCAGCTGTTCGTGGAGAGCCGTTGATGCACGCCAATAGTTTCCAACGCCGAGCAGCCCCTTCGGCCAAGGCACAGAGTATCTGCCCATCACCGGGTTTGGTGAGTGGGTGCGTGGGTACCCTGGTATGGACTCAATGTAACCTGCAGAAGACAAACCTACTGGTTGCCGCTCGGAGAAAACATGCACGCTGAAGGCCAAGACACATGTGAACTCGCAAAGAAGGACAGGGCTGTTGAGAGTAGATGCCCTGGCCGAAGGTAGGATACTCCTTTATGGCACTTTGACGGGTTTCAGGGTGCTGTCTGAAAAGTAATTAGAGTACTACTACATGATTCGGTCGGTGCCTCATCATACCGTGCGGCCTGTTTGGACTCTTTCCGGAGGAAAACCCAGCATCTCGGTCTTGAACTCCGGGGTCGCCCACAACCGTGCTTTCATCACCAGCGCTTGGGGCTTCTGAAACTGCCCCCGATCCACGAGGACCTTTTCGGCGCAAGGCCGTGCCGGCGTGTCCAGCGTTGCAGTTGCCGCAAGTTTGCATACGTCATGGTCAACGGCACGGGTCGACCATTATTTTCGTGGCACTTGATTTTCTGTGTTTATGGAGTCCGCAGTGCTATCATGTTCGACAGGCGCCCAGGACAACAGCACGGCCGGAGAGTATTGGCATGTGATTCAACCTTACTTTAATGTTTCTGAGAGCTTTCCAAACTCGTCCCGTCGGGTCTGTTCACTTCTGTAATACAGCTTTCAACCGACAACTCAGACAAACCAACACTTGATTATCATACGTCCAAACTCATAGAGAGAACTCGAGGGCTTCTTCGATTATTGTAGGAACTATGCATCCGTCGCCCGACGTGGTCGTTGATTGGTCATTCAACTGAACGTATCTGCAGAAACTGTGGCAATCACGTACTGCCTTCCTGAAAGGCGTTCTTCATGCACGTATACCCAGGGATGCTATGGTGTAGTTGCTATTGTCACGAGATCTCACCGTCGTCATCATCGTCATCGTCAAATTTTTCCCCGTCTGGTTGCCTGTCCACCCCTGTCCCCTCGCACTGCCTAGGGGTTTCCCCCATGTGATTGAGAACCTT